CGACTACGAACGTCTCGCAAGTTTTCAAAGAGATAATGTTGAACTAAGGGAGATTATGTCTTCTAAAACTACATCCTTAAAACCCACCGAAATTCCTTTAGGCAAAACAAAAGTAATCTGTTATTCCTGTACAGGTAAATGTCGACCTCTCTGTCCTGGTGAGAGAGAGAGAGATGATTAATAAACTCGTGGAGAAATCTAAAAGCTCAATCCAAATTGAAGTATGCGCTGAAGATGTCGCCTAGTAGGGCGATGAAAGCTTCGCAAATTAACTATCTAGCTCAAAAACATCAAAAACGTTTTCACTTGTAGCTGTAGATTCAGTCGTTGGTCAGTAGCGGTTCCACTAGCAGATGTATCCGCCGAAACAGTTGCCAAAGCTCTAGCAGAAAACTGAATAGCAAACCTTGATCTTCCATCCATTATCACTGCAGACAGAGGTGCGCGGTTCGAAAGCTGGCGTTTTTAACACCTAGACGAGTTGCTGGGAATTAAACCAATGGGAACGATTTCGTATCATCCCTTTCTTATAGGATAGTTGAATGATTTAATCGGCATCTTGGGACTGCGCTTACTGCCCCTCTCACCAAAAACTACTGGTCCACTAAACTTCCGCTGCTACTACTTGGTAAACAAGAAAAATTTGCAAGTATTGGTTTTGTAGGGATTTGGTTTGATTGCATGGAGGGTTTCATCATGAGCTGACATCAGTTAGAGAACCACTGGAAAACCAGCTGGGAGTACTGGACAGCTGTTTCGTCCTAGTTTGGGACTCTTCAGCAGTACGCGCCCAACGGGATTCGAACCCAGGACCTTCTGGTTGCGAGGCGAGCTCGTAGACCATTGAGCCACTGGGACCCGATCCAATGGTCCTTGAATTCTAACTTCTGCCAGTACTCCCAGCTGGTTTTCCAGTGGTTCTCTAACTGATGTCAGCTCATGATGAAACCCTCCATGCAAACACGAAAAACTTTAGAAAAGACTTCGTATGCTACGTTTCCGAGTTGGCCAATGGGACAGCGCTACTGTTACTAAGAGGGTTCTTCACCTCAGATAACGAAGTTCCACATGATGTGACTGTCTACGTGCACTTACTAAAACAACACATGAACGAGCTAAAAATACCACTTTCACGCCAGCAGCGATGTTCGTCACACATCCCACTACGACTGAAAAACTGCACTCACGTTTTTGTCAGGAGGGATGGCGTACAGTGAACACTCCAGCCTGCCCACAATGATCCATTTAGAGTTCTACAAAGGAATGACAAAGTTATCATGGTAGAACGATCGATCAAAGCAGAAGCCATCAGTATTGACAGAGTCAAATCAGCTTTGATTGACGACTTCCAGGACATGGATAAAGACCAACTGAACGACATGCCAACACCTCCAATCTCTAAAACTACAACGTAAACGGAAAACCCGTGAAAACAATGCGATCTGGCCGGAGAATTCATTGGCTCAAACGTTACGTTAGAATTACTACTATTTCATTTATTGTGAGTTTTCTTTTTATTGTGTTTATCTGAAATCAACATAAAACTGATCATTCACGTTATCAATATTTCCATTTATAGTTCACATTGCTATTGTTTAAACATTGGGGTTTACACGTTTAACCGTGTAATGTATACCATTTGCATATCGCTTTCAGCTATAAACCACGGATCCCCGGCTGACTTTGATCATTCCACATATTTTCTACCATAATTATCAATTCTGTTGTCCGTAGTGCATTCATTATTAATATTATTAACTGTCCATCCATTTTTCAAAACTCTGGGTCAAATTGAGCGTTTGCCAGCCTAATACACGCACAGTTTTCTATGCATTATCGCTAGTATTTATTATTAAAACTCAAATTGTCATCGAAAACTTAAATGTACTATTTCATATATCATTGTTGTGGTGAGGGAATAATGTAGCGCCCGTATATTAACTCTAAATGGACGTGCGTCGGTGGCACAGTGGTTAGGACTCTCGCCGACCATGCACATGGTCCGGGGTTCGATCCCCTGCCGGCGCACACCCGATATCTATGGTCGGCCTGAATTTGGGCTGCCGATATCCATGCTGAAAATTCCACACTTGTACTGAAAATACGGTGTGGAATCAAGCTGTAAATCAAAATGAAAATAAAATATAAAAAAACTCATGTACGCATATTATAAGTTTATAGCAACTTATTTTACAAATGCTTGTTGAATCTTTGCCTTTGTATGATTGGACATTGCTTTTCTTTTTTACATGCATATCTTATGCAGTATTACACTTTTTGTTCGCCCACGCTTCTCGAAATTTGTTCTGTTCACAGCATGGGTGAGGATTAAGGCTATCATTGTGTATTTCCGCGCATAATATAGGTTACCGTGTTCATGCCTATAGAGGCGTTATAAACGTTAATTTTTGTGTAAATGGAGTATATTTAATTAGTTGTAGGCTTATGTAGTCGAAAAGAGCGATATTTTCTCGTATTATGTTCGTATTAGTTCATTTAGATGTCTTAGTATCCAAAACGAATTTTTACGAAGAAAGGCGTGCACTTCGAGAAATTATACATAGAAATGACTTCCATTTTTGTTTGAGAGCCTTAAAAGTCCGAATTTGCTAATGGTTTTTGAACTTTCAGGTTGTAAATTGACTACGAGCAATGGTTAATGTCATAGAAGTTATTCTATAAGATTCTGGCTTTTGATAGAGAATAAGCCTACATACATTAGTTTGATAGCCGTTCTAAGAAACTTAAGCATTCTTATTTTCATTCGAGATAAGTGAAGTCGTTCGTGACACATCGAAGAAATCATATGACGAATGAGACAAGAGACTGAGTTTTGCGGTGATTATGTCCATTTTGATGAAGTACACGGTTGAAACTGTTTGGCTAAAGATGTGATGCTAGTAGAATTTACACAGCTACATGGAATTTCAGAAGACCGTAACTGCTTACCGCATCAAATCGTATCAGCCCATCTTGATATCACTGTGCTTTTGGACAAGAATACTATGAGTGGTCCTTCTGAAATGTAACACTGCTTGCAATTAGTAATAATAATAATATGACATATTTATTATTATTTATTGTAATTATATATTTGTTCCTATCTAAGTAGGAACACAACTTGGTTCATGGTTAATTTACATGGTTTCTGCCCTTTCAAAATAGTTTGTGGGAAAAATCTGCTAGCTAGTCATTCTATGGAGCACATAAAGGAATATAATAGACAGTCCTTCTAAAACCTAACACTGATTGCAGATAGTATTACCCTTCTGTCGAGAAGTAGTTTGCAGCTGCATCCTACCACTAGTACACTTGTTACGTAAGTCATATCAGTCCTAAAAATCACTCATTTCCAGATCACTAAGGTATTGTGAGCTCCTTCAGGAATTACCTGTGGCTATGAAGGGCATAGAAGCTGCACTTATGATTTATTATTTTTAACATTTATTATTAAACAGCTTATCTAGCTGGACTTTGTGATATTCAGGTTACAATGCTTGAGTATATGCAGTTATTGGATGCTACTATCCGTGAAGGGGCCGTTGATGAAAATAAACACGAAATAGAGCTTCCTATAAAATCATTAGGAATACCGCAAATTGTTGATAAGAAACTGTGTCAAATGAAATAATCTGAGCAGAGAGAAACAAGTGTTAATCCAGTTTCCATCTTTTAGATGTGTGAACCATCTTCAAAAGTTCAGAAGGACGCCAAAACATCAATGCGTCATTTGCTTAGTGCTATACTTGACTGTCTGTCTGTTTTCAACATAGAACTTTGCACATATGTGCGGCAGTTCAAGTCGCCATACTCCATGTAGTACACAAAGCAAGAGAAGAAAGTAGGAAAAATGCATATTAGAGACAGTAAACAGAGTTGTGAGTGAAAGGAATAGTAATAACGAAGAACAAAACAGTTTCATTAGAAATCATAAGTCACAAGGAGTGGATGCATCTGCGCTATTGAGAACGATTTTGAGCCCTGTCACCAATTGTTTCCAACCATTGGTTTTCACCGTCCCGAGGACCCCAACCAGGAAGTCTACACCTTCCTACGTGGCTCAGACTAACTGTTGTAGATTTCATTGACTGGTGACATGTTTTGGTTTGACCGCCGCTAGCTCTTTTCCAGCCTGACCCTATATCAGCTAATTTGACCAGACGAACAATGTATGTGATAGTAAAAACCGCAGAAGAATGCTGTCATAACCAAAGAATGAGAAAGCAGAATGAACCATTGTCAGCAAAGGTAGGCAAACATACAGCGTTTAACTTTTATATTACTTTCTAATTGCTGCGAATTCAAAAATACACTTTATTCACCTATTTGCAGAAGTCCAGTAACGTCAGTCAACCTGGCCACAGTAATTCAACACCGCCGACAAACAAGTGTGTACAGACATTTGCTTGTTCTTATTTCTCATTAAATATATCTAACATCCTGCTTATCATACTTTTCTTATTCTATCTAAGTGAAAAGAAATTTATCATGACGATATGAAGGCTTGACTTATCAATACTGCTATTATCAAATATTGCTACGATTGATACAGCTCCATCTACTCAATTATTCGTCTCATGTAGACTTCATTTCGCACAACATATTAACACCCGTAATCACAAGAATTGACATCACGCTTTACGTGAAATAATAATAATAGTAATGCACTACTTTGAATAAACTTGATCTTATACGAAATCGAACTACACCGCATTGCCTAAGCTGTATTCTTACTTTTCAAATACATAGGTTAGGTATTTTTGTCACTGATCCCCACAGATTTACCTATGACTAAGAGAGATTATCGCGTAACTTTAGGCAGATATCTGGGCTTGACTAAATTACTTATGACTCACCACCTATAATGATCGGTAGTGTTCACATAGAATTACACTTAAGTATAGTAGCAAGTTCAAGTCCTAGGAAGCACCGGTCTAGCATGCCGTACTCCCACTGAAAGCCTATTAAACAAAACGCAAGAATATTAAAGAAAAATTTTTATTTCAATTCAATGCAAACAAGTTAATTTACACATACAGGCTAAGCACGGTCCAAGATGAAAACTTTCGCTTGGGAAGTATCTCCTATTATTCGACGGAAACTGTCCAGTATCCAAATTGCGTCACGTCTAAATTCCTTCTCATTCCAAGCAAACGGAACTGGATGCCCGCATCCAAGGTTATCTGCTATCACAAACTGGAACGAAAATACTTTATTCCATAAAACAGTACTTATAGTTTGGAATGGAATTCTCAGCATTTGTCACAACGCTGCATCTAATATAAATAAAATTCAAATAAAATTAACATGAATTCATCCACGGTATAAAGTCAAAAATATTCGAAATACAAAATGAGAATACTATATATAATAGTAACATTGTTTGTTTGTTTCAAACAGTATTGTTGATTCAGTTTGGAAATCAAAGCATGTTATCGATTATTGATATGTTGATATGGCATGGTGAAGGGAAAGACAAAAAATTGGTTATTACACAGCTTAAATTATGTTTACACTTATGAGAAAATAAACAAAATTATTAAGAGGATTGTAGATGTAAGAAGAACAATAACAATATCTGCAGGTGAATGAGTGAACTTATCACCAGATTTGCATAGACGGTTGTGGGAATTGATTCTACATACAGCAACAATGGAAGATAAGTCATGAAACACTCGGAAGATTTTGAATGTCTTCGTCCGAATGCCACTACATTACCTTCCCACTGAATTTAACTAACTGAGGGACATCATCACGACTGAACTTTTTTAAGAGTGATACAGATTGAATTAGCACTTACATGATTAACACACACGACTATATAAGAATTAAGTATTCAATAAATTCACACTACTTTGGAAGTGTGGAACACATTAATGGTGCGAAATAAATAGTATGATTAACTGTTAATGATTGTGCCATCGAATCATACTAGAAGAATATATTTAACATAACTTTGCTAGTGGTTTGCGGGGTAAAAATATTAAAAATTTTTAATATTTTTATCTAGTGTGTATGTTTCTTAAGAAACATACGGCAAACCGAAAATCCAATTAACCGCTACTGTTCTAGCCAATGAAAGACGCGCAAACGAGAAACCAGATTCAGATTATAAGTATAGAAGGCTCTTGTTGCCTATGTTAATCCTCGCGATATATATCTCTGCAGAGATCCAGTTTCTCTTCGAAAGCGTTCACCGATGGAGCTGTTACTACTGAATCAGGTAAGGAGTTCCAGTCGTTGACCACTCTGTGAGAGATTCTAAACTCCAAACGTATTATATTCGACCTTGGTTTGAGCACCTTCTTCTGGTGACCCCGTAAATGTTTCCTAGAGGGAAAGAAAAGGTTTGAAAGGTCAATCCCTTAATCACCCTTGAATATACGGTACGCCAAAATTAAGTCGCCTCTCCTCCTTCGATATGATAATGGGAAGAGATTTAAATGCTCCATCCTCTTATCATAAGGAAGGTGTGAGATACCACTAACTAATTTCGTTCCTACCCTCTGCACTCTTTCCAGGGTATGTGCCTCCTTTTTGAAGCATGGACTCACCGCTTGTATGCAGTACTCTAGATGAGGCCTGACATATGTTGCATAGAGTACTTGGAACATACCCTCGTCTAATCGTTTGAAAGCCCTTCGAAGTGCCCATACCATTCAAAAAGCCTTAGCTGCGGCTCGATTACAGTTTACCGTTGTTTTTAAGTCATGGCTAACAATAATTCCTAAGTCCGTTTCTTCCCTAACATCTGGCAGTTCTCTGTCCCCCATGAAGTACGACGTGTAAGACTTCTGACCTAGGTGCATTACCGCGCTTTTCTTGGAATTAATTTCCATGCTCCAAAGGTTAGCCCACTCGGTTAATTTGTCTAGATCGTTTTGTAGTACCAACCTATCATCGCTACTATTTACGGTTTTCCATATCTTAATATCGTCCGCAAATAGTAAGGAAGATGAGGTAAGAATTTTCAGCACTTCATTTACGTATAATAAGAATAGCAGGGGACCAAGTGCCGTTCCCTGAGGTACTCCACTTAGTACTGCTTTCCACCCTAACAGTACACCATTAACCCTTACCTTCTGCCTCCGATCCATCAGGTAGTCACTAAACCACTCGCATAAGCGTTGGTCTAATCCAAAATGTTTAAGTTTACTAAGAAGACCTAAGTGGGATACCTTATCGAATGCTTTACTAAGATCGGTAAATACAACGTCCTGTAGATGGTTTTTATCCCTGGCCTCGACCCAATCTTCCCTAGCTAACAGTAAGTTTGTCAAGCAGGATCGTCCTGGTCGGAATCCATGCTGTTCCACTGCCAGTAAGCCATGTTTTTCCGTATGAGCTAAGAATTGGTCCCTTATGAGTTTTTCTAACACCTTTGCTATACTACAGGTCAGACTTACAGGCCGGTAGTTAGATACTAACTGTCTGTTCCCATCTTTGAAGATGGGGCTTATAAGCATCTTTCCAGTCTCTGGGTAACCTAGCCTGGGTCAGAGACATCTGAAAAATCTCCGTAAGTGGAATGTATATTATATCCGCAGGGAGCTTAGCAATCTAGGGTGAAGTCCGTCTGGTCCAGGTGATTTACCTGGCTTCAACTTAGACAGTAGTTTCAGAACCATTGCATCATCTACCACAATTGGGGGCATTTGAGGGGCTACACCAGTTACCTCGCTACACCCCTGGGGGGTACGATTAGACGAAAAAACATCACAGAAATATTCGGAGAGCTCCTCAGCTTTTGTTTCGTCTGATTCTGCAGTCTCTCCTATGTTGCTAATGAGGGACGGTATGCCACTACTAGCTTTAGTCCTGCGTTTGATATACGAGAACAGTCTTTTTGGGTAATGCACACAATCCAGTACTAACTGTTTCTCATACTCTATACGACTTTTGTCAATCTCATACTTGCAAAGGTTTCGAACTTTGCGGTATTCTACCCGAAACTCATCCCTCCCAGTCACAGCGAACCGGTCACATAAGTTCTTTCGATTTATTAGTAACCTCCTTATTTCATTACTAATCCAAGGTGGCTTATGAGATAATTTTCGAGGCGTAGACTAAGGTACAAGGGGTGCAGTGACGCACTCTAGTGTATTTCTAAATCCCATCCAAGCCTCCTCGACAGTCTGGTGTGTTAACAGACCAGTTAGCTAGGGTTGCTGCATTTCGGATTGCAGGTATATTCGCTTTCCAAACGTTTGGGCGAGCGGCTGTCGACCTATGTATGACGGCCTGTATCCTGAACATAAAAGTAATAACTATGTGGTCACTACTGCCTAGCGGCGCCAGGCACCTAATATTACCAACATCCTCCTTCTGGTGTTTTAGCACCAAGTCTAGAGTGGACGGATCATGTTCAGGATGGTATCGTGTTGGTGCATCCATATGCTGCACAAGTGCGCATTCAAGTACTGCCAGTATTAGTTCCCTGTTGAAACAATTGTACGAAGTAGCTGATGTTAATTCCTCCCAATTAATATGCGGGGCATTAAAATCACCTACTATTAGACACCTATTCTTTCTACTCCACGTCCTGAGGTGATTTATAACGAAATTGTCAGCTTGGCTGGTAGGGATTCTATAAATAACCCCTATCGTTACACTGCCTTTGTTCAAGTTAATGACACAACCTGCGGCTTCACAGGTGCCACTGTCATGAACTTCCGACAACGTCGCCCTAATTCCTATGTCATCTAGAATGTATAGAGCGACCCCCCCCACCTTTCCGGCTACTTACTCTGTCTGCTCTAATGCAGCTGTACCCAGGAATGAGTGGAGTTAAGTCTACACCCATTAACAACCATGTTTCGGTGATAGCAATCACATCCGGCTGTAGTTCCTCAGTCAACACTCCTAGTTCGGGAAGCTTATTCCTAAGACTACAAGCGTTCGTGTAGCATACTGAGAGACCTATGTGTTCACTCGACTTATGAACAGAGGTCTGGTAACACAGGTTTCCGAGACCTCACTACCCGAAAACCCAACAGTTTGAGGTCTTTTTCACCCTTTTCTAATCGGGCCTTTAATTCAGCCACAGCTTCTCTTCTCCTAATTCTATCTTCCAAAGGCCAGTCTCGCCTAATTCTCATATTTTATTCTTGATCTTGAATGCGTTGTTGAGAATAATAGTTTTCTCTATCTCGTTCCCCAGTACTACCTTCAGAAGTCGTGGGGAACTTTCCGTTGCATCGGCGATTCGTTTACCGATTCTGATAACTTCCCTTATGTGAACACCATTTGTTTTTTCCGGAAGTATTTCACGGATGATGGAGCTAACTATTTCGAGATCTTCAGCATGTCGAGCAGCTGGATCTACCTTCTTCGATTCCTCCAAATTCCAAATTACTATACTGTAATTTGAGTCCGAAGGTTTAATCTTGTCAGTGTTTACGGCCGTTGAGACCTTATCACTAACCACAGTACTTTTCTCTTTCCTGTAATTCTTGAGCTTCCTACTGTTCGGCACTAGCCAGGTGGAATCAGATGGTTCCACTTTGCTCTCGCCGCAGTTGGAAGCTGTGCGTTCACCAGACACGCAACGCTTATTCGCTATGGTATCACCCTGTAAATTTAAAACGCGATAGCGTTGCAACATAACCTTTCCAAGATCTCACCCGCACTTCCCAATACAACTTTTTTCGTTTATGACCGTGCACAGTATCAGCATTTCGTAGTACGTGAAGACGTTAGTGTCCTGTATTAATATAATCTTAATCATATTTAGTATACTATGAATTCGTGAACTTAACATACTGAGACACTTACCAGATGTTTTGAATAGCAGTCTTCTTAGATCTTGGGCTACCGAAAATTCCATCCATCACAATATTGCATCTAATTTTTAGTGTTCAGTTTGTTTCATTTCACTGACCTATTATAAATCTTCAAGAAACCTGTCTCCACGACCTTTTTGATAGTTTAGTCTGTCTTAATTGTTTTAGATGGCAATGGATAGTGGCACACACTAGGTGATTGCCGCAGAAGTTAGGTGTTATCGCGATGCTGTGTTTGGGTTGTTTTACGTTTTTTCTACTGAAATGCACTATAAATGCCATATTTTAACGAAAAAACTTGGAATAATGGTAGAAAGCAGACGTTTTTAGCATTCTGAATTAACATATATCTGTCGTCGAATTTCGTTGTTCCTTTGCATGAGGAATGTCGAAATTCTTTATACATTGTAAATTATTGTATGAAAAACGAAATAAATTAGGTAAATGAAGCATATTTTGCAAAATGCTGAAGTGGCATTCTGAACCTATGGGTTTTGAAAACTTGGTAACAGTCACAGGATTTTGCAGCTATAAAGGAGTGTGAGTTGATTCATTAGTAAGATAACAGTGGATAAACAAAGTTTTTACTGAAAGGTACTTTGGTTTGTAGTATTTTTGTGTTGCTAATTATTCGGTAACAGACGTTTTACTGTTGTTGATTTGCAGGTTACAGTTGTAACCTACGCAATGGTTTACCTTATTTGGAAGCTTTGATGAAGTGCAATCAAAGAATTTTCGCGTTAACGTTGAAATCCTTGTGATAATATAAAATTATTTATTAAAATAAATAATTCTTAAATGTTTTAACGGTATTCTTATACTTCAGTTTCCTTTTGCTTGTCGAAGGAATAGTGATATAGCCCTTTCCGGAATGAGCAATGATTTAACTTAAAAGAGTCATAATTTGCTCAGCATAAGAATACTAAGATAATTATATTTTAGGAAGTTATATCCGGTGAGGGAATTGAAACATAGGTGTGAATGCATGAAATAATAATAATATGAAGTGCAATTAAAACTAAAATGTTTGTGATTATAATCGTAGTTAAATGTCAAGTGGCAAAGCAAATTAATGTCATATATAGAATAATTCATAGGATGGATAGAACTTGAAAAAGGTGTGCAATTATAAGATTAGTAGACAAATCGAAAAAATAAAAACGTTACGTAATATTGTGTGAAATTTAATAGCATAGAATTTAATGTTGCATAAAGGAATTGATTTAGAATGACAAGTGGAACAAGTGAAATAATACCGGGGACAATTAAAAGTGAGAGTAGTAATAGTAACAATTGACTTAATAAGGAGGAGTATACAAATTGAATAGACAAAAATGAAAAAATGAAGAATTGGTAGAGCTAAAATATGATTGGGGATTACCATACTTTAGCATAGAGGGATTAAGACCATGAAAGTTGGAGGGGTTGAACGAACTTTTTCTGTACACAGAGATCTGGCTTTTCTGTTTCGATAGCCAAAGCTTCAGCAATACAGATGAGTCGGGTACGTAGGGATTTGGGTAGATTACTCTTTGCCTTGTAGATGACTTTGAAGGCGGAGGCTATAGAGATAGGGTGATCATTATCGACCAGATGTTCAATGATCGCGCTTCTTATTGCTCCACTACCACCTTTTCGTAACCATGCAGGATAGTGTTCTTGCACCCTCTTGGACAAAACTCGTGTCGAACGACCGATATACCTAGCTCCACACGAGCAGGTGAATTGATAAACACGCATAGAGTCGGTCAACAGCGGGATCTTGTCCTTCAGGTTATTGAACAATAATGGTCGACTAGAAAAGGCTATTCTCAGGGATGCAGCAGGGAATGTTCTTTTCAGGGATTGTGATATCCTCCGTTTCATGATATCGGAAGCTAAGTCCCCTTTGAATTCCAAGCTCATGTAAAGTATCTTCTTGGGTACGGTTGATAACTCACGCTTTTTAGGATTTGAATGAATATTCTTATCTATAAAACGTGGTGGAAATCCATTTTCTATTAGGATTTTCCTCAAGATGTATAACTCATCTTCCACAGTATCAGGGCTACATATGCGCCGAATACGAGTGGCAAGCGACCGGATCAGGTTTCGTTTTCGACCAATGGATCATTTTCTAGACTGGACATAAAACAGTCTGCAAGGAGAGGACACAAGGGAGAACCCATTGCAATACCATCCTTCTGTCTGTAGATTGCTTCATTGAAAGTAAACTGTACATTCAGTGTACATCTCAGAAGTAGTTCTTTCAGATCTGTGGTGTAGAAAATGATCAGCTGAAGCCTATAATCCAAAGCTTTCAAATGTATAAAAGGTATGTAGATGACACCTTTATTATTTGTAACGGTGATTGTAACTTAAATAATATATTAGATGTATTTAATGGTTGCCATCCGGCGATAAAATTCACACTCGAAATGGAGAACGAGTCTAGCATGCATTTCCTCGATGTGAACTTATCAAGAAGGACCGATGGAACCCTGAAAAGATCGATTTATCGCAAGCTGTCATGGAATGGTCAACTGACAAATTTCTACAGCTGGGTACCCATTGGTCGAAAACGAAACCTGATCCGGTCGCTTGCCACTCGTATTCGGCGCATATGTAGCCCTGATACTGTGGAAGATGAGTTATACATCTTGAGGAAAATCCTAATAGAAAATGGATTTCCACCACGTTTTATAGATAAGAATATACATTCAA